GAGAGAGAGAGAGAGAGAGAGAGAGAGAGAGAGAGAGAGAGAGAGAGAGAGGGAGGAGCGACACAAGATTGGTTGTGCGGTCCAAGACAGGAGGTGGCGGCCATAACCGCCAAAGCTCCGACACAGGGTTACCAAGGAGAAAGAAGACGAAGTAGAGGAGGAGGAGGGAGAGACGGAGGAGGAAAGAGAAAGACATAGCCGGGGCGGAGGAGGAAGAAAGTGAGAAAGAAGGAAGGAGGGAGAAGAAGAGTATTGAAGGTTGGTGAGAACGGAAAGGAGGCGGCATCCATAGACGAGTTAAGCTTTGACCAAGGCGTTGACCGGGAGTTGACCGGGGGTTGACTGGGGGTTGACGGGGGTTGACTGGGGGTTGACCGGGGGTTGACCGAGGGGTTGAACGAGGGGTTGAACGAGGGGTTGACCAAGGTTGATTGAGGCGTTGACCGGGAGGTTGAACGCGGTTGACCAAGGTGTTGACCGGAGCTGTCGACCACGAAATTGATCAAGCTGGAGTTGGTATATTCTCGCCAAGCCTTCAGCCTATCCCCTCGCCCTATGGATGTGCACTCACCCCATGGTACTCGCTGAGTCTGTCTGTCTCTTCTTTCTGCATTGAGTCTCTTATGTCCAGGTGATAGGAACTTTGTGTATGAGGTCATAGAGCTGCGTTGACCAAACCCACACGGGCTGAGTAGGGCTAAAGGCCGTGTTTGACGATTGACTGACCCGGAGGACAAACCCTCGCAAGGACCGGTACAGACCAGCGGGCTGCTCGGTGTGGCATGGTAGGCCCAAAAGCCGAGTTGTGGGCCGCACAACCAGCTGTCTAAGTCTTAAGAGAACTTGCTGATCACTTTGTCCTGTCTGTGACGTTAAAGAATTCCTGAGGAGTTATGGGGGATCTCCTTAAATGCCTCCTGATCAACATTGAAGTCTTGTAGTGACAGCTTTAGCATTAGGTCCAGGCTAGAGACCATAGCTGACAGGGTCCTATACGGATCCTGTAGTCCTTTAGAGAGTCAATCAGTCAGTCGGTGGAAGTCTAAGTGGTGAGGAGTGGAACTATCATTTAGTTGTGCACATTTCACCATGGTGGACACGCGAGGCGGTGAGAACACCACCCCATACACGAAAGAGCATGAGGAGAGGGATGCCGCCATACTGAAAGAAAGAAAGGAGGAGGCCAAGAAGCAGCCCCTATTGGAGGATCAGGCGGCGAAGAAGAAGAAGCTTGAAGAGGAGATGGAGAGATTGAGGAAAGAGGAGGAGGTAAAGTTGAAGGCAGTAGAAGAAGAAGAAGAAGAAGAACAAGAACAAGAAGAGATTCCCCTGCAGAGAAGTGACAGGAGGGCAAAGAAAGGGGAGTCGAGTGACATGACAGAAGAGGAGAAGAAATTGGAGAAGATGGTGAGTGAGTGGGTAGCGAATTTATCCTTGGGAGAAGACGAAGAGGCCATGATGCATATTCCCCAGGACGAGAGAGACGTGGAAATCCAGGCAGTACAAGATCCTTTGCAGCGTCAAGCATTGGAGGAGGAAAAGAGGATGGAGTGGAAGTTGTGCCTAAGAAGACAGAGAAGGAGGCGCACAGAGATGGCAACGACGTTAGAGAAAGAGTTAGCGGTCGCAAGGGAGCAGCACACACGCTTGGCTGAGCAAGCAGATCTCCAAAATAAAATGGAGATCATGGGCAAAAGCATAGAAGTGATGATTTATGCCCAGTAGGAGCAGATGAACTTCCTGAGGGGCCATGATATAGCCCAACAATCAATTCACACAAGTTTTAGAGATTTCGCACATGACATGATGATCCGCATGGGCACAGAGATGCAAGCCCGACTAAGCAATATGGAAAGATTTTACAAAGGCGCGATCAAGGGAGTTAAGTTAGCAGCTCCCAAAGAGGAGGAAGCTCGCCCACGTACGGAACCAGTCAAGGTTAAATTTCCTGACTCCTACAATGGGAAGAAGGAAGAGAACTTTGATAATTGGGAGGCGAACGTTAACTCCTACGTTCACCTCCAGAAGATCCTCCCTTAAGAACAAGTCCTCGTCGCTTTCCATGCTCTTAAGGACGAAGCCTCGCCCGATCGCATGCTTGAGCTGCCAAGTGTGAAAATGATATGGTGGCATACTCCATAATCACCCCCCTAAGCGAGTTCTTCAAGCTACTCCGCGAGCGATACGCATATGTCACTAGGGGGATTAAAGCCTCCGATAAGCTACAGACTATTCACTCACGTCAGTGGAGGAGTGCGAGAGCACTCAAAGGAGTCATGGATGAGTTAGTTGCCATCCCAGGACATGGGGTCACTGAGGCCCAATTGGTCCAGTTATTCTACCGTGCGATGCCTGAGCCATTACGAGGGCACTTTTTCGAAAAGAGTAAGGAGTTTACCATCACCTACGATACATCGAGTAGGGAGGTGGTAGCTTTTGAGGCTCAGTCCATGCCAACTCCCACTTTCTGACATAAGGACCTTGATAAGGGGAAAAAGTGGAAGGGACGTTGTCGAGCGCACGGTCCCCGCTGGGGGAACTTTCCCAGCCGCGGCACGCAGGATTGGCAAAATTCGCATGTCGCTTCACGAAAAGGGAAGCGGTTGAGCCGCTCCGGCTGAGTGCGCCAGCTATACCTCCATCGAGTCCCCACGACAGGACAAGGTCTTTTGCGAGGAACAACTTACCTC